GCACCTGCCTCAGATTCATTCACATGCCAGTGCATGGGCTGTTTGCCAATAAATTCTCTCATGGAAAACTGTTGTATTCTTATACAAATAAGCAGCTTAATCCATTCAGCTATATTCTCTCTCTTATCAGCATTTCAGCGTAATTGCCAAAATATAACATAATGGGCTTGCTTTTCAGCCAGGCCTCAACTATCTTCTGTTTCCATGGGTGCAATTGTACACCTCTTTGTAACTGAAACTTCATTTATGCACCCACAATTAATTTCAGGCAAAAATACTTGCAGTTAGATGTTTAACTATTTAATTTGTGGACAGCACAAGAAGAGAAGTCATTGTGGAGATGCTATCTCTGGTCATCTAGTCCAATATTTGAATTATACAAATATACATTTCTCATACATACATTTAAAATCAAAACTGGGACATACACTGTACTATATGAGGCTCTAATTTATGACAGTCTAGAATAACCTAATATCCTAGTCAATATTTTTAATTCAGTTTCATTCAATCTAGTCAATATTCCACATCATTACTATATTGGTCTATAATAAATAATAATAAAATAATAATAATAATAATAATAATAATAATAATAATAATGTTCCATACATCTATAACACACACCTTCTAAAGACATCAAAGTGCTTTAACAAAGCTGGTGGCAGATTATGGCTGGCCCATGTGCAGTTTTGAAGCTGAGGGGAAAGGTGCAAGAAACCTTTCCCCATTCCACCTCCCACAGAGGCTGACCATAGGCACAGTCACTAACTCAGGAAAGCAAGGGAGTTCCTTCTGCTACAATTCACTAGGACTCTAGCCACCCCAAAGGAGTCTTGGGTATGGCCTCAACAGCCATATACAAGTGCGTGGGGGGAGGGGGCGGCGGGGGGAAGCTACAGTAAAGTAATGCACATTGGAAAACATAATCCCAACTATTCATACAAAATGATGGGATCTAAATTAGCTGATACCACTCAAGAAAGATCTTTGTGTCACTGTGAATAGTTCTCTGTAAACATCTGCTCAGAGTGTAGCAGCAGTTAAAAAAGTTAACAGAATGATAGGAACCATTAAGAAAGGGATAGATAATATGAAGAAAATATCACAATGCCATTATATACATTCATGGTACACTCACACCTTGAATAACACATGTAGTTCTGGTTGCCCCATCTCAAGATAGATTAGAATTGGAAAAGGTACAGAGAAGGGCAATGAAAAGGAGTAAGAGTATGGAACAACTTCCATATGAGGAGAGATTAAACAGACTGGGACTTCTTAGTCATTTCTTTTCCAAGCTGAGGAGGGATATGATAGAGATCTATAAACTCATGAATGATGGGGAGAAAGTGAATAAGGAAGTGTTACTTACTCCTTCACAAAACACAAGAACCAGGGGTTACATAATGAAATTAATAAACAGCAGGTTTAAAATACACAAAAGGAAGTGCTTCACACAATGTACAGTCAACTCAATGTCAGGGGATGTTGTGAAGGCCAAAACTATAAAGGGGTTCAAAAAAGAATTAAACAAGTTCATGGAGGATAGATCCATCAATGGCTATTAAGCAGAGTGGTCTTGGATGCAATGTCATTCTCTGAGTGTCCCTAGCCTCTGACTGCCAGAAGCTGAGAATGTGCGACAGGGGATGGATCACTTGATGATTTCCTATTCTTTCATTCCTTCTGATGCACCTGGCATTGGCCACTGTCGGAAAACAGTATACTGGGCTAGCTGGAACATTGGTCTGACCCAGTGTGGGCATTTTATGTTCTTATGTAATTCTGCTTCCAAGACACAATTCCACTCAGTGCTACCACTTAAGTCGGATAACCCCAAATTACTCCCTTAATGAGGGGCAAAAGGCAAAATAGAGCTCATAACTAATTAAGACTAACAACACCTGTATGAGGTACTTAACTGTTATTATGTCCACTTTACAGACAGTAAAACTGAGTTGCAGAGATTGGTATTTCAACATGTTAGCATAATAGCAAGCTTCCACTGTACCGGACAAGTCACATCAGTGATATGAAACAAAACATACTATTCTACTTCCATAGAGTCCTGTTCTTCTATTGAGGTGAACTATTGTTTCCAGCACAAACATATCCTGAAGAAAAGGAGGCAAAGGAAGGTAGAGAACTGACTCACACAAATGTACCAATACTACTGAGAAGACATTTATATACAATAGCTTGAACTATACATACCTCAGCTCACCTTGTAATTGTTTTGCTATTTACATACAAGAGCTATTCTTTTCAGGACTTGATAAGAAAGTTGCTATTTGCAAGGAGATATTTACACTTTTTGTACTTCAAAATCCTGGCTGGGTTTGTTCCATCCCTAGCTTATTGTTGTGTTTTAGAGTGTTAAAATATATTTTATTGAAAATATGCTAATACAAATGAGGACAAACATTGTTTACTAAAGATAACTGTAATTCTGAATACTGTTTCCTGTGATCCCTTAGCTGAGAACCAACAAGTCAATGACACTGTTTTATATAGTTCCCTGATGATTATGAATCAACTTTCATTGCAAAGCATATCAGAAAAAATGGATTGTATCATGTTCTGTAATAACTAACTTCTGTGTTAGTAATCTCTGTCAAATTGTCTCCTCTTTAACACTTACTGTATGTATTTCCTTCAGAATAAAAGAAAGTTTATGTACTAAGAAGCGGTGAATTGAAAATGTGCTTGATGGGATCTTGCAAATGTTTTCCAGTACTTGTGTGGAATGAAAAAAAAATGGTCAGAATGCTCAAAAGAAAAGCACCTTTAGGGGCAGTTATCTGATTAGATGTCTAAGGCTGGGAAATTCACATACAGTGGTTGTCAGATTTGAAAACAGGCTGTAGGGAGGAGGGAAACAAACTTCCATTCTAATCCTGCACTAAAAAGATGGTAAAATCCCTTCTTTTTGAACACAGTAGAGAAATTGCCATTTGGGGAATTCCACCTTATTTTACAGAAAGAGTTATTTTGATTCATACATGGTAGAATAAACCATCGTTAGTGACAAAATTTTAAAGCTCCATGGTTTCAACCACTGACACATATACCCACAAACATACACAAATACACACAGAGAGATTTAAAAAGTTTGAAACTCTAACAGAAGATAAAGTTTGAAGAAATTCTGCTCTAAGGGCTAGATCATTAATGTGAGATCTGGCCCACAGAAAATGACTGCACACTCTTGTGTTGCCCCTGGAGCATCCCAGGAGGGAACTGTGACTCAGGGAATCACAACACCCCTCTTCCCCTGACTGCTGCTGCTCCTCAGAAAGAGTGAACTGAGACCTGCCTCAGCATACGCTCCCATTGCCCTGGCATACCTTCATCTTGGGGGAGGAGTCAAGGCTACACTCACTCCCCAAACCCTCCCACCCTTCCTGACCCCAGGCATGAGGGAAGGATATAGCATCTCTGTGAAGATTGCATCCTCCCATGCACAGTAAGCTGTGGTATTGTTACACTAGTGCATACAAGTAAATGGCCTCTTCTACTCCACAATCTGGTCCTTAGATAGCGAGTTGATTTAATCGAACTTGCATGAATTCAAAAGTATTTTGTATCTGACTTAAATCCAATCCACATACCGCAATCATTTGATATGGCTCATCAGAGTGTCTCATCTAATTGTGACTTCCTAAATATAGGCACTAGGCAGAACACAAACCCACAATGCTGCTAATGTGTCACATATTCCAGTAACAAAAGTACTGCTCAATTAAAAAAAAAAAAATCATGTAATCCTTTCCAGTCTAGTTTTTTATATTAAGCCCCAATTGTTTACAATGTATTTGTCAAGACTATGCAGTTTAAATATTGTAGATATATAGTATAAAATAAGCAAAAGTAAAAAATTGCACTCTGTACAAGCTCTGCTAACTATATTGTACTACTTTTGCCTTTTGATTGGTGCACACAACTCTATTAGGTCCCAAACCAACTCCCACTGAAATCAATAAAAGGACTTGCATTAATTATAATGGGAGTTGGATCAGGTTCTTAACACTACTGGTAGTTAGGGTCATGAATAAGTGGGAAATTAATCCTCTAAGTAATCATACAGAAGGCATCATATTCAGCTAGGCTAAAAGAAAAATAAAATGTATATTTTTGTGGAAAAAATCATTATACACGAATTAAACATAGTATGAAATTCAACAAACCCTACAATATACCTCGATTAATCTCCCTTTTCTCAACACTTTCATATCTCTTTTTTTGAAACTTAATACTATACGAAAGATCTCAAGTAATGGCCAGTTGTCTGATACAATATTTTAATTCAGGAATTGCTAACTTAATTCAATGCTAGTTTAGTTCAATGTAGTTTTGCAGTTTCTGTTCTGGAAACCCATGGAATTAAAGCTGCATATGCAAATACAGTGCCATCAGCTAAAAAACTTTGTGAACTTGTGCAAATTATGGTAATTTGCATCACGGACTCAGGAAAATGATGATGATACACCATGGCAAATATCCTGCCCCCCAAATCCCACAACATCCACCTGTGGATGTAACAGATGTTCCCAAATGTTTTAGCTAACCACACTGTAAATAGCATTGTTAATGGCTACAGACAAATGGAATGTTAATGCTGTCTAATGCTACATTTAAGAGTAGTAATGTATGGCATGGAAACTGTGAAATTCAAATGCTTTGTGTCACAGATAAGCAAAGTCCAATCAGTGATTTGAGTACATCATGTGACAAACACCATTCTTATGACTCCCAATAATAAGTACAATACATTTGCACCTTTTTACATCAACAGTGAATTTGACTCAAAGACAATTATAATGTACATTTCTAAATTATCTTAAATAATTAGTACCAATATATACATAGAAAAACTTTAAAAACTCCTGTTTAGACAAAGCTGTGCTCCAAAGAATAACTCCTGGTATATTGTGAAACATTACTATTATGGCAAACTGTATGGACATGGGTCATAGGTCTAAAGGGCAAACTCTTACCTGTATCATTGCCTGTAATGGCAATAAAAACCACTGTTATGTCAGATATATTTTTCATGTCTGTTTCAAGAACTGGAATAGAGGGAGACACTTCCTGAGGTTCTAAAACCTCTGTGGTTTCCTCAACTTTGGGTGGTCTGGTAGGTCGTGCAACTGCAGTGGCACTTGATGATGTGAAATATTCTTTATCAATTTCTGGTTCCACTGTCTTGCCTGTCAGACCATCATCAGTAGTGGTTTTACTGGGAGAAATAGATTCATCAATTATTACCATGTCTATGCTTGTTTCCTCATCTTCCCTGTCAATTTTAGGTCGCGGCGTTTTAGTAATAAAGGACTTGGTAGTTGAAGTTGGTTGGATTTTGTCTACTGCACTTAGAACTGTTGTTTTATCTGTTCCAATAGTTGAAAATATAATTGGTTCTGTTCCTTTAGGTTCCTCCAATATTCCTGAACCTTCCAGACTATGGGTTGTAAAATTTTCCACTTTTTCCACAGAAGTAGATTTCTCAATCTGATGAGTAATACCTTCTGGTGCAGAAGGACCTGTAGGCACTGTATGTGAAGGTAACTCAGATTCCCAACTCACCACACTGCTGTCTTCTGTTTCATTTTCTTTTTTGATGCGTGGTACTCCACCTTCATCTACTTCAGTTTCAGTGGTTGGTGGTACTGGCATAAATTCAGTGGTCTTTACTTTGTGTTCAGTAACAGCATCAACTTTTGGAGACAGTACAAGCTGTATGGTCCCAGTGGTTGTTTCACCGGAAGCTAGAACTTTTTCATAATCACTTATATTTATACCAGGCATTAAAACTTCTGTAGTTGTACGTATTTCATCATATGCTGATCCTTCAGTAATTATGTCCACGTCCTGCCTTTCAGTAATAGCTGTGTGAGCCAATTCAGGTTCTAAAGTTGTCTTTTGTTCATATATTTGAACAAATGTCACAGGCACCTTAGAAGTAGTTGCAGTAGAATCAGTGGCAGTAACCAATTGCTCTATAGTAATTCCATATGGTTTTCCTTCCACTGTTTCTTCAGTAATTTGGATCACATCTTGTCTTTCAGTAATAGTTGTCTGAGCAGATTCAGATTTAGATACAACCTCCTGATCATCTGTTTCCACGTGTACTTGAGTAGATGTCACATCCATTTTAGAAATGGATGCTGTGGACTCTGTGGCAGTAACCATTTGTACCATAGCTTCACCTTTGGTAGAGTGTTCCTTTTGAAATACTGTTCCTTCTATATCTTGAGTTTCCACATGTGGGTGAATAGTAGTTATTGCTCTGGAGATTCCTAGATCTTGGTCCTGCTCGATAGTACTTCCTTCCTCAATCAAATCATCTTGTTGCCCTCCTGTTCCTGCACTAGGTACAACCTTTTCTTCATAGGCTTTTACAGTAGTGGATGTCATTGTAGATGATTCTTCTTTAATGATTGTTCCAGTACTTATCTGGCCACCCTCTGTGACTGCATATTTTGTGACCTCTTTATCTGTAAATGTAAGGTCTTCAGTAAATAGTGCTTTTTCAGTGGTCTCTTCTGGTTTCATTTCTGGTGCAGGAGCAAATGTTCTCATAGTATCATGATACCTTGTAACAACATCTGCATGTTCTGTAAAACCTTCTGTCGGTTGTACTTTGTCACTCACTTCCATGACAGGGGGCCTGGCAGTTGGTAATTTTGTAGCTTTTGATGCTGGCACCGATGGCAGAAAGGGCTTTATTGTTGCATTGCTTTCATCCAGCGATATTTTTGATACTGTGATCACTTCCAGATCTATAACTCTGCGAGTGGGGTAGACACTTGTAATATCTTTACCCCGATCTATATCAGCTGATATAGCTTTAAGTTCTTCATCAATTTTTGTTTCTGTTGGCTCAACACTTATCTTAGTTTTATCTTTTGCTGTTGAAATTGCTGCTTCAGGGTGCTTTGTATGTTCTACAATATAAATTTGCCCTGGAGAAGCTGTAGAAAATTCCATTCCAGAGATACCATCTCCTGTTCTTAAAGCTCCATATGTTTTCACATAATGAAGCAAATCTTCTGTCACATTTTCCTGATTTTTATCAGTAGGTAGTGGAGTGCTTGAAACTTGAGGAGCAAGTGTGAATTTCTCACTAGCAAAATGTCCCTTGGGTTCTGTTTTGTCCTTATCAGAGTCAGGAATAACTGCTGTGATATAGGGGGCTGTAACATCAATTGTTCTCAATTCTGGCTCGCTAGTTTTTTCTAAGATGATTGACCCTTCTGTTTTTAGAAATGGGTAGATGTCAGTCTGCGTTCCCTTTACTACCCCTTGTGGTGAAGTGGTACCTTGTGAGACGGTGATGGCCTCAGCTTCTGTCTGATTAACTGCTGGTACAGATGTAGACATAGGTACTCCAAAGGAAATTTCAAGTGCATCGGTAGGCTGCACATCCTCTCTGCTTCCTTCAGCTGATGCCTCATTATCAAATAGAATAAGTTCTTCTGTAATTCTAACTGCTGGAGTTGACTCACTTGCTGTAGAAGATGCTCTAGCAGTTACAGTATGCCCATCTAAGAATGTCTTTGATACAGTAATTACTTCTAATTCTGGGATTCTGCTAGAAGCCAAAGTTCTGTGGTCAGGCATAACAGTGTATGTGCTTCCTTTGCCATTCTCTTCCTCTGTGGTAGGTTCATGATGATCAGTGTGCAGATCTTTGGGAATTACAACAGTTGTAAGTTTCTTATGAGTTTTTGCTTCCATTGATTCTTTTGTAGGTTGAGCACTAAGATACATTTCCTCCTTCGTGAGTGTAACTGAAGTCTCTGTTTCAGCAAACTCTCTCACAGGGGTTTGCACTGAGGCATTTGCCAATGTTCTCATTGGGCCCACCTCTATTTGTTCAGTCTGACTTTCAACAGTTTGTGTATTTTCAGTTTCAGCATCTTCCCATGAATCTGTGATTGGAAGTGATGTGGGAATCGCACTTGTAGCTGCTCTATGCTCGGAAATGATTGAGGACAAATAAACTTCCTCTCTGATTTTAGACATATCTGATTTCTTAGATAATTCTACTGCAGAATAAGTGTGCTCCAACTCCTTTTGTATAGGTGTACTCACTGCTAGCCTAGATGTAGCATCAGCTTTAGTCATGTCCAATGATTCAGAAGTATCTACTTTGCCATCTGTGACAATCTGAGGTAGAATAGTGGTTAACTTAATGTTCTCCTTAGGCATCTTCTCTTCTTTTTTCTCACCCCCTCTGGTAGTTAGTATTGGATCTTCCTTTTTGCTTTCCAGGATCACTTTTTCCAAAGATGGGATCTTTGTTTTGGTGACAACTGATTCAGTGATTAAACTATCAGAGATATCGGGTTTAAGAGTAGCTATGCCAGGTATTGTTTTTAGTTCTGTTAACAGATTGGCTGGCCCACTTTCCGTAGGAATGTCCAGCTCAACAGATGCAGACTCTGATATATTTTGTTTACCTAAAAAAAGATGTTAAAGAATCAGTTAGAAAGGGTATAAATAAACCCATTTTTATACTTTTCTGATGCAAACTAAATGTTAAACCTGAACAGAATGAATGAAAGTGACAAAATGTTTTAGAGAAAGGTTATGAATTCAGTACAGCTTTAAATGCCAGCATAAAAACACTGTATTACAATGTCACAAGATTTGCTTGAGTTCATACACTATACACTAGATTAGGGCTGAAGGTGAGAACAGTATTTTTTCACTGAATGGCTTTAATTAATTTGCCTTTAGCCAAAGTATTTGTCTCCCAGGTTTTGTTTTGTTTTAATTTAGAGATGCTATTGAGTGTTTTTAAGTAACGGAAGGAAATTAAATGTTATTACTTTTAGTTTAGGATACAATATTATTCATAAAAGTCCTGTCTTTGGCTCCCTGAGCTGGAAATGCTGTGAGGGCAGCATCCTCAGACCTGAGGGAGGGAATCGCTTGCCTTGCTGAACAACGACAAAAGCAGGAGCAACAAAGCAATGTCAGTAATATTAGTTTCATGGTGCTATATTAACATTATCAGAGGTCTTCATACAACATAATGTCAACAAAATACAAACATATTGCTCTTTATTGTACTGACTGAAATGTTGAATTTGAATCTTTCATTTCATACTCTTGCCAACTGACTCCCAGTTAAAGAAAGAGATGTTTCCCATTTCCCCTGGTGCCTTTATGCTATGCTATGTATTAGTTGTATTGCAAATGTCATGGGTGTTTTTTCAAGGCTTACTTTAGCATACAATTCACATGTATAACAGGAAGTAAAATACCAGCTCAGTATATTTTCAGCACATAATTACAAATCACAAAAAGGAACCCTGACAGCACAGGAGTGTGCTTAGGCAACAGAAACTAACATGCCATCCTAAAACACTGTATAATAATGTCACAAGATTTGCTGTAATCCATGTAAACTATACTCCGAGGCATTTAGATTAGGTCTGAAAGCGAGAACAATAGTCCACCGAGGTCCAAAAAATACCCACAGGTAGGATCAGAAACCTCGTATTGCAATGAAGTTGACTTTTGGAAAACACTTTAAAAAGGCATAATCCTGCTTCCCTTCACACACAAAACGGGGAGCATTATATATGAAAAGACAACAGGATCAGGCCCTTTAAAACACAAAAACAATAAGGGGACAGCAATTGTGGATCAAGAGTGGAGTACGGCCTTTAGAGTCACCATTAGGACATAGACAATTTCAAGATTTTTAGTACATAAATATGTCAGCACTAACTATCCCAGCACAACACAATTGAACCTACAGCCTCTTTCATATGAAAGCATTGCTAAGTATCTAATCAGGTAATTAAAATCCTTACACAAACATGCAAGAAATGTATATAGTTACAATGTTTTAGGAAGACAGGCACAAAGGCCAAAAGCTGGGTTTCAGAGTTAATGAATGAGCTCAGGGAAACTCAAAGACTCAGCATATGATATGAAAATTTTATCATTCCTACTTGAGGGCCAGGGGTCAGGGAGAAAGATGAGGTTTGAGATAAGATTCAGAGAGTCACATTTACAGAAAGGAGATATTCCAGAGGATGGAGTAAAGAAGAATCTACTATCCACTAAGACATCCAGAATTTAAGAGCACAGGGAAAAATTGTTAGAACAGGTAATGGGACAGGCAGAGAAGGGGAAGAAGTTAAGGCAGAATATAGGAATATGCAAATTGAGCACATCCATTTGTTTAATGCTCAAGAGTATCCAATACATATGTACATATCAGGTATTTTCACATGCACATGGCTAATTAGATGTCTCTCAGGGTTTGTCTACACTTACAGCACTAAAATGGTACAGCTGCACCTGCGCCTCTGTAGCACTTAATGAAGATAACTACCTTTTGCCAACGGAAGAGCTTTTCCCATTGGTGTAGATACTCTGCCTCCCCGAGAGGCAATTGCTATGACGATGGGAGAAGCCCTCCACTCCCCTGAGCAACCATGTAGTTATACCAAGTGTAGACCAGGGCGTAGGCATTTGTTCATGCATATAAGATATTTGTGTGCATAAACAGGGTCTACACAAATGTAGGTTTGAAGTTTCACACACCTAATTTTGAAATGTTGCCCTTACAGTCAAACTTTTAGATTATACGCTGAAATGGACAAAGAGGTGGTCAGTCAGATGTATCCAAATCCAGATCCAAACTTCATCAAAGTTCAGAGCATTAGGATCCAAGGGCTTGGTCCATACCCAGTACGGAGTTAGATCCATTCATTAAGTTTGGATCAGAAGCCAGAAGTTTGGAGGTGCTTGGATACAAGGTTCTGGTGTGAGCTATTCTCTAATTAACATCTGTTCCAGTGGGAACAAAGTTTATTGTTTGTTTTAACGAATATTAACATTAAATAGGGGTGGGGGAAAATAGAAAATAAAGCCAGCATCAAAATATATTTATGAATAAAGAGATAGAATGTGATTCACCACTATTTGAGGGCTTTGTAATACTAGTTATTTGTGACTTTTTAGGTGACTGCCAGGTTTTCATTAAAATGTTTGCAAATCTTAAAAGTTTAACAAATTCATGCCTGATATGCAGTTACTTACTATTCATTACTTATTAACTGCTAATCTCTTGATAAAAACTTTCAGACATTCAGTGAGGGAGCAGAAATAAACAAACCAAAAAAAATAAGGCCAAATGCATCAGCTATTTGGTTCAGCAATTACTAATTGACCAACTCTAACAAACAAACATTTTGTTTCCTAAAGAAGAAGAAGAATACAATATAAATTCTATTCAGTTTATAGATAGGTGGCCAAATTTTCTGCTGGTGCAAACTGAAATCCAAGGAACAGTGCTGATTTACACCATCTCTAGGATTGTTTCAGCTATACTAGGTAAGTGCCTTATCACTAATATGATGTATACATTTTTCATGGACATGATTCAGATTTGTAAACTTAACTGAGAAGAATTAGCTGAGACACAGATGCTTCTTCTTAGTGAAGACATCTACCAGCATTTCTTTCTGCCTTGTACAAAAAAAAAAAAAAGTTGATTTTTTAATAGGTTCCAACTCCAGTTTTAACTGGTTGCTTCTCTATCCAGATGTTTTGCATTACTGTACTCCTTGCACCATGTGTTCAAAAGGCTGTCTTCTTTGTGCTTCTTCTGATGTAAGACATGAGACAGATTTTCCTAATAAAATGCATGTATCTTTTAGCAGCAAGAAAGCAAATTATCTCAACAACTGCTGCTTACATCAAAGGCTATCTTGTATTGCTTTCAATTGATTCCTTTTATATTAAGAACAACCTGAATGAAGTTGATTTTGGATGGACTGTATGTGAATTGGTAGAGATGCTGTACTTTTTCATTCTCCAACTGTTTACTTTATGCTTTCACTCTGGAACAGCTTTCTTCCCTCTTCTTCACTGTTGTTTAAATAAGGTCATTAAAATGGTGGAGTTATATTAAGACCTAATAATTTTATCTAGGAAAACACACATATGGCCTGAGAACAAAATGCTTTAACTTTGAGACTACAAACTGAGAAGTTTAATAAGAAATGTATCTCTAATTTACTCTCTAGAGGCAGACAATACTAATTTTACTTACATTTTACAAATAAGTATTTCTACATTTTCAGGATACTTAGGCCCCTGTTCAACAAGATACTTAAGCATGTCTCTAACTTTAAGCACTTGAATAGTCCCTTTGAAATCAATAGAATTACTCACATGATTAAGCTGAGGCCTACAGTACTTAAGTATCTAGATGAATTAGGGCCTTATACTACATCAGTACCTTATGAAACATGCCCAGCAAACATGCCCATGCAGAAGCTCATCAAGTCCACTTTTTGAAGCGGGTCAAAAAAGAAATAAACCTCCATACTCCAATCAGTGGTCGATTAAAAAAAAGTAGTCCATGATTTACTCTCTAGCTACTGCAGTATTAAGGGCCTGATATAAAGCCTAATGAAGTCAATGGAAAGACCCCCACAGACTTCAGTGGATTTTCAATCAAGCCCTAAAAGAAGAAAAAAAACCCTTTTCCTCTCTGTAATGAGTGGCCATAAAACCAGTATCCATTAGAAATGAAGTCACTTTTGGCTGAAATCATATTTTGTTCCACTGCAGCTGAGCATCAGTGTTCTGCAAATTTTGCTTTGTAATTAATTCTTTTTTAACATTCCCTCTCCCACCAAAAGCAATCTTAGCTTTTAACAAATAAAAGACTTTTTTGATGATAGCCCTGATGCAGCAAAGTACTGGAGCACATGCTTAACTCTACGGTCAAAGTCAACACTTTAGGCATGATCTTAAGTACCTTGCAGAATAAGGGACTAAACATGAGCTGTAGGAAATAAACACAATAAAACCATTAACAGAGGTTAAACTTCAAGAAGACTTCAGAGAGATCTGTAAGCAACCAAGAAGAAAATGAAAGATAATAAGCCATATGGTTTCTGTAGAGGAAAAAAAAAATTTCATGATCAAAGTAATGATCTCTTATTTTTAAAAAACAAGACTTTAGACTTCAAATCTCAAATTATTAGTCTGAGCCAATTTTATTTTCCTGAGTCAAGTATAGTATGGTTTTGCAACTGGACAGCAAACTAAGTAAATCTTAAACTTAACTGTACTATAGATAGATTTTTTCTTGGCTCGTGATTTTATCTGAAGCTAATAAATTGTGCTTTGTAATTTAAATCTATTGTCCAGGTTTCTGGTTTATATATTTTAAAAATAAAAACACCTATTTAATTCAGTTTTTAGACTAGCAATCTTCAGAATGTGGTTTGGAGGTTTCTTCTAACTTTAATTGCAAAATTAAATTCAATATTTATAGAATATCCACCAAGGAGAGTTTGAATCACAATAAAGACTTCATGCTGAGCTGAAGAAAGAGGTGTCTCCTTTTTTAAATACAAGGTTTGTTTTGATAACGATTAAGACAGATGCCTCCTTTGGCACAGATCTGCTGCTTTGGAGCATTTGAAAAATCTAATCCACTAGCTGGCTCCACAAGGGCCAGAGTCAGCCATCCTTTCTGGAGTGGAGAAGCATATGTTTACATGTGTCCCACAGATTCCAATTGGGCTACTCAAAGTCACAGAGGATATTACTCAGCATGAGTGAAAGTGGTAAACTGAGGTACTTAATCATTGCCATTTCACTTCATACTAAATGCATAATGTGCATAACATTCAAAAAGTTAAATCACTGGCTTTCAGGCAGTTGTACGAGAAAGATTTGGGAGCTGAACATGAGCACCCAATGTGATGCTGTGGCCAAAAGAGCTAATGTGATCCTGTGATGCATAGACAGAGGAATCTTGAGAAGGAGTAGAGAAGTTATTTTACCTCTGGATTTGGCACTGGTGTGACTGCTGCTAGAATATTATGTCCAGTTCTGGTGCCCAGTATTCAATAAGGATGTTGATAAATTGAAGAGGGTTCAGAGAAGAGCCATGAGAATGCGTGAAGGACCAGAAAACATGGCTTATAGTGATAGACTCAAGGACCTCAGTCTACTTAGCTTAACAAAGAGAAGCTTTAATAGTGACTGGATTGTCTATAAGTCTATAAGTATCTACATGGGGAACAAATATTTAATAACAAGCTCTTCACTCTAACAGAGAAAGGTATAATACAATCCAATGGCTGGAAGTTGAAGCTAGACAAATTCTGACTGGAAAAAAGGCATAAATTTTTGACAGTAAGGGTAATTAACCAATGGAACAAGTTACTCAGGGTCATGATTGATTTTCCATCACTGACCATTTTTAAATCAGGATTGGATGTTTTTCTAAAAGATCTTCTCTAGGAACTATTTAGGGGAAGTTCTATGGCCTGTGTTACACAGGGGGTCAGACTAGATGATCATAATGGTCCCTTCTGGCTTTCGAATCTATGAGGCAGAGGAAAGTTTACTGGAACACAGTAAAAATGTGACACCATTGCTTTCAACGATACTACAATCTGTTTTGCAGACTTTAGGCACTGGCACTACCTAGATAACTCTGTTTGATTTTGCCACAGAGGAACGCTGTGTGTTTCCAATTAGCAGCCTCTGATCTAATAAATGAATGTAACAATTCTTTAAAGTTACTTTTCATTAACACAAGTCCCATAAATGTCAGTATTCAAGTATTAGGGGAAAAACATAACAAGATACATTATGAAAATACTGACATAGCACTAAGCATCGTACTGAGGTTTTGTGCAAGGTTTTAAGAAACCAAGATTGCAGTGTGGTGACTGCTACAAAGGAGTGCTCTTAACCAGTTTCATATGGAACAGTTGTGTCTGAGCTTCAGATCAGGGCTTATTGTATCACACAGAGCCTCACAGTGACTGTATATTACAGGGGTTCTTAAACTGGGGGTCGGGACCCCTCAGGAGGTCGTGAGGTTACTACATGGGGGGTCATGAGCTGTCAGCCCCCCCCCCCAGACCCCGCTTTGCATCCAGTATTTATAATGGTGTTAAATATATTAAAAAGTGTTTTTAATTTATATGGGGGGGGTCGCACTCAGAGGCTTGCTATGTGAAAGGGGTCACCAGTACAAAAGTTTGAGAATCACTGGTATATTGCATTTTCATGTGACACACTGAGCTAGACTGTGACATTTAAGCCTCAGTCCTGAGAGCAGTGTGGAGTCGTCTCACCTTAGGGAGGGCAAAAGAGAGATTATTAACTATGTCACAATCTGTCTAGTATCAGAGGGGTAGCCGTGTTAGTCTGGATCTGTAAAAAGCAACGAAGAGTCCTGTGGCACCTTATAGACTAACAGATGTATTGGAGCATAAGCTTTTGTGGGTGAATGTGTCTGACAAAGTGGGTATTCACCCACAAAAGTTTATGCTCCATGTGTTAGTCTATAAGGTGCCACAATCTCTCTAGTGTTGACTTTTGCATACAAAGAGTGAGCAATTTCACTCTCCATCAGAGGGGACTGCTGCTTATGCTGGCCTTGTTTTGCAGGTTGATTCAGAGGTTGGGTAGGTTCTTAGCTTCTCCTCCTTTCCCTTGCCCCCTTTTTGGATCCTGGCTCTATAAGGGAAGAAAGGCAAGCAGGTGCACAGTCCTTGAGGAGCCGTGTAAATATTAATATCCTTCACAAGAATTTGCATGCGGTCATTGGGTGTTTTTTTTCTTTGCTTTTGTGTTTTGGACAATGTTCACAGATGTAAAGATTTTATTAATTTGCAAACCAAAAAAAGACAATGTATAACTTAAACCTTTTTACATGAAAAACAATAAACAAAACTAATATGGTTTGGAGATACAATGAATTGCTTCAAAAAGTTTTCTCTAACATTTTGAATTGCATTCAATATTGCATCAGTACTAAATAAAACCAAATGCTACAATCTGATGACATAGCGTTCACCAGTTACCTCCCTCTTTGTTTATGGAAACAAATATACGTGTGTGTGTGTGTGTGTGTCTGAGCCTTATTCTGTACTCATTAAGGGCCTGATCATGCCAGATGCCTACTCAGAGGAGCTGGATGCTCTCCCATTGATATCTAAGGGATTTGAAGGTACCCAACCCCTCTCAGAAGTAGAGCTATGTGAATAACTGATTTTTCGGTTTACTGGCCATTCCAAAAAATTGAAAAAAATTATTTTGAGTCAACTCCAAATTAATTTTTTTTTGAAATTTTTGGAAAGCTGAAAAGTTAAACTTTTGTTTAGCATCAAATGAAACATTTTGTTTGACCTGAAATAAAATATTTAATTTCACTGTTGAGCTTTTAATTTTTTTTTATTTTACTAACAAAATTGAAGTAAATTTCAAAATGATAAGTCATTTTGAATTGAAAAATGGAAACTTTTCATTTAAAAAAAAAACTTTTCATTGCGGTTTCTTTTTCTTCCAATCATAAGAACAGCCATACTGGGTCAGACCAAGGGTCCATCTAACTCAGCATCCTGTCTTCCGACAGTGGCCAATGGCAGATGCTTCAGAGGGAATGAACAGAACAGGTAATCATCAAGTGATCCATCCCTGGTCACACACTCCCAGCTTCTGGCAAACAGAGGCTAGGGACACCATGCCTGCCCATCCTGGTTAATAGCCATTGATGGACCTATCCTCCATGAACTTATCTAGCTATTTTTTTAATCCTAATCAAAACAATTTTTTTGAAGTCAACATGAATTTGGAAAATGTTTTGGTCAATCCAACTTGCAAATTTCACCCAGGTCTCCTTGGTGCTCAGTACCTGGTAGGAACAAGCTGTAATTCTTCAATGATCAGTAGGAGATTTTCCTGAGCAAGTGATGAGTAAGGAGAGGGCTGAGTAAGGTCTAAATCTAATGGACCATATGGTGTAAGCCCCTGTGCAAATACACAAAAGCAAAGAAAAAAAAAACAGTGACCCCATGCAAATTCTTGTGAAGGATATTTATAAGCCCCGGGGTATGTCAAAATTTGCTTTAAGAAAAACTTCCTGAAAGGACAAAGTGCAAAATACAAATTCTATGTTCATAGGGTGAAATTCACTCTATACATCTAATGCCCGGTAGCCAGACTCTATGTGAGTGAATAGCAACTGGGCTGGGGAGGTGAAATCCTATGTTCTAACTGAGGATAGGCTTCCAGCCTTCAGTTCAAACAACCACCTCCCCAAAACAGTCACTATTCCAACCCATTGGAGAGTCTTCTGCAGTCCCTCCACAACAGGGTGAATTTCACCCATTATACTTTAAAATGATCGTAAACAAACAAATTGCAAATATATTGAGTCATCTCCCACTTGAGTTGTACAGATGAGTGAGGGACCAATCCTGCATGAATATATAGTCTTTATTTAAGCATGTAGTGCCTCTGAAGTCAATGAGACTATTGCTGTGAGCAAAGTTTTTTAAGATCTGACCCACAAACAGTAGGGAAAAAAACTATTTAAAAATACAAAAAACAAGAGCACCCTGTACAGCAATGTGCTGAGCATCTTCAGCTCCCACTGACTTCAGTTAGAGTTGAGAGCAGGCAGCATGTCATGTTATGCCACACCTTTAGGTGTGTCATCAGCTATGGGGGTTGAACTGGGATATTGGGATCATAAAACTCTACTGATTGAGCTAAGGACCTAGCTCTGTAGCAGGCTCATCAACCTCTATATGTGACCCAGCCTCCACTAGAGGGGGATGGAGTGACACACTGAGTGGGTGTGGCTTACTGTCACTGAAACCAGAAGTCCTGAATTAAAGGCCCAGTACTTCAATGTTTACTCATGCAAATACTTCTTATTCCTTAACTTTAATGGGACTAGTCATGAAAATAAGGATTTTATTGACGTCAATCAAAAAGAATACCGCTGTCATGATGGGTTTCAAAATCAGGCCTTGATGCCTTAACTCAGCCACACTTCAGCCAGGCACTGCATCACCTACAATTCCACAGCACTAGGAAATCCAGTAAACCGTGGGAGGCTGTTGAAAAATGTGTGCCACACGGTTGAGGGACAACAGGGCACAGATGAACCTTATCTCAACATTTCCTCTCTCCATAGTGCCTTGCCTTGTCCTTAATGTTATTTTAACAGAGTTGTTTCTGTTTGGATTCTTTGTTGTTCCGTAAAGCCACAGTAATGAAATGCTTTTGTTACAATATACATGCTCTGTAAGGAACAGAATCAAGCAAAATGGCAGGCTAAACCCTTTTCTGACCGAAACGCATTCTTAAAATCATAATAAAAAAAAGCTTACGTTTAAAGCAGTAGGCATCAAACTTGCTATGTGGGTAGGGGAAGCCTGTTTGGTTCTCATAGCGATACAGGGTTCTCACCCCAAGTAAACCTCCTCCACACTGGATTCTAGCCACAGACACAGGATAACGCACGCTGCCATCAGCCAGCCAGCCATAGTCACATTGGTCAAAGCCATTCCTCCAGGCAGCATGCAGGTCCCCAACTGTAGCAAGAACTGCATCCCTTTTCACACACTGCTTCTTAGCTTCTTCAAAGGTTAGCTTGTTGGGCAGTGTCACATGGAACACATCACCTAGAGGAATAAAAACAAAGGTGAATTTTACTGAACAGTTCCCTCTTGATACTCCAGTTCCAACTGCCTCTCCATTATTAAGGTTGAGACGCACATTCCATTACCAACTCAATTTAGTCCCATTCCCTCTGTAAGATATTTAGGACAAGGCCTTTCCTTTCTAATTTTGCATGTGTGCTCTGTGGCCAAAGAACCAGATCTGCCCAAAATTCACACTATGTACATGCACATGAAATTCACCCACTCACCACACAGCACACAGATTGAATCTGTGACCTTTCTGTGAGGGAATTATGCAGTGGTTGGAGACAGACTCCTCCCCTCAACATGCAGGCAGGGCACAGGGGAGCCAAACCGTGTGTGACTTCTACTTGAGCCCTGGGCTGAAATAGGCATTCTGACTTCAGTGCACTCAGTGAACCTGGAACATGGTTTGATAGCGCTTATTTTTCTCAGTGAAAGCAAATCTACTCTCTTACGTCTGCAGGCCTCTTACTTGGCCCTTCTAGTCATCACTAGGATCTCTCTCAGGGCTCAAAGAATGCAAATGCTCTTTATTAGCTGCTGTAAATCAATTTTCAGAATGATACTTCTACAAGTCGACTACTGATAGCATGCCCAATGAAAAGAAAAAGAGAATCAGCACTGGACACATTATGGTATGCCTGAGTCTGTGACTTCAACTGAAATAGACAAATTAGTCCAGAAGCTCCTTTGTGCATTTTGGCTTCAAGTGAATATTAATCTCCAAGTAACACCTTTCCACTTATAAATTACTCATGGGGTTTGAACAAAATGATTCCTGTGTCTTAGAATCAGTTCCAATGTAAATAGTCCTTTTGTGATTGATTGTTTTTGGAGTTTTGTTTTAGAATCAAACAGAGCTGCTTCTTCACCCACCAAAATAATAACAAACTTAAAACCCATATCCTGGGAATGGTGGAATGTTTGACACCTTCCTCTGTCTAGACTTAAGATTGTAGCTAATGAGATATAAAGTAAAAAATGTTCAGTTAAAGAGAGTAGGGTAAACTCAAGTTGCATGTTATGAGAAGGTGATTTTTCTCCCATCTTCTCTGGACCAGAATACAAAAGTTCCTATTGCTGGGGAGAGCTGCTTAGCCACATTGGACATGTGATCTGTCTCTAGATAACCTAGCAAAAGACAGATGGAGAGACTGCGTCCCATGAGCAGGTCCAGTCACATCAATATTACACTTGGGCTACGTCTTCACTACGGGGGGGGGGGGGGGGGGATTTTAAAAAACGCAAATAAACATCCGCGAATAGGGGGTTGAAGTTGGGCGTTCCCGCCACTATACCCCGCTGTGAGGACGGCGGCAAAATCGACCTCCGTGGCTTCCCGTCGACGGCTCTTACTCCCACCTTCGCTGGTGGAGTAAGAGCGTCAATTCGGGGATCGATTGTCGCGTCCTGACGGGACGCGATAAATCAATCCCCGAGAGGTCGATTTCTACCCGCCGATTCAGGCGGGTAGTGTAGACCTAGCCTGGGTTTAGGCCTGAAAGGAATGAAAGTGTGAAAGAAGGCAGTGGGCTAATTTTTTCCTCATTCTTAGAAGAGTTGTGATTTGTTATTACAGCTGTAATATCAATTTCATGGTATGAGTTTCCTTATACAAATTGTAGGGAATTTCTAACCTAGGGATAAATCACTGTAGCCATTAAGGGCCAGATTAGACCTGCTAAGGATGAGTCAGAGTAAGGGACAGCACAGAATTGCATCACACTGAATAGTATCAGGAGGCAAAATGCTTCTCTGAGCTCCTTAGACCACAGGGGGAGTACGCCTACTACTATAGGTAGGGCCCTATCAAATTCACAGCCATGAAAAATGCATGATGGACCATGAAATCTGGTCTTTTGTGTGCTTTTACCCTATACTACACAGATGTCACAGGGGAGACCAAAGTTTCTCAAACTGGGGACCCTGACCCAAAAGGGAGTTGCAGGAGGGTCACAAGCTTATTTTAGGGGGGATTGTGGTATTTCCACCCTTACTTCTGTGCTGCCTTCAGAGCTGAAATTAGGGTAGCAGTACCCTAACCCCACCCCCATACAATAACCTTGTGACCTCCCCCCTCCCCAACTCCTTTTTGGGTCAGGACCCCTACAATTACAACACCGTGAAATTTCAGATTTAAATCGTGGAAAATTGGGGCCCACATTTTTGCACCCACACATAGAATCGTGCATACCATTCTGCATACTTCTGCCTCTTGTTACTGGATTTACACCTGCAAATGGTGGGAACACTTTTTCATGGTTTCATATTGTGCCTTCGCCCTGCTGAAAATCTACCCATCAGTGTCACACAAAGAGCTGTTTATATGGAAGAAACCTTTGCAACCTGCCTGAATTTGCAATGTTAATAATACTGCACATTTGAGTGGTGGGTAGAGTGCCCTTCTTTCTACTGAATCTGTCTAATGATAGAACCAGAGGCCAAGTTATTTGGTTCATTTTTTTAAATTCTGCTAGTGTAACAAAGATTCTGTGTCTGAAGCTCAGTTTATGAGCAAAAAATTCATAAATGCTGAAAACAAAAAGTGCATTTAAAGAAAAATGTAAACTAACTAAAATGGGGCAAACTGCCCGAAGAGAGTCCAGCTTTTTGCCCATTACCACCTATTTGACATGATATGGGCTTTTTGGAGCTGAAGGCACAAAGAATGCAAAAAGGTGGCAAAGCAATCAGCAAAATACTTTTGTCATTCCACCGTATATTGTGTAAAGATTAATTTCTTTCAAGAATTCTAGTGTGAAAATAAAAAAAAACTATGTTAAAATAATAGCAGTTTGCATTTGTTCAAGCCAAGAAATTAGATACTTAGAATCCAAAACTTTTAGTTTAAAATCACCCCAAACCAAATTCCAATTAACCACACATTGACACTACCAGAAATTAGCCTGCAACCAGCCTGTCCAATTTGAAAAGAAACGACAAGTCTATGTGTCAATGTTACTATGACCTGCATTTACAACAGTGTAATAACCATCACGACCAAATAAAAACAAAATCAAGCAAAACTCTCAAACCTGTAGATGAGTCTGGTTATATAAATCTGAAAACTTTTAAAAGTTGCTCTGCAGTTTTCCAAAACATAAAAAAAGAAAAAAGTTTCCTCCGTCCATTGGGCACATAGGAGAAATATTTCCAAGCCTATCATCAGATAGTCCAGAGGTACTGATCTGATTCACACTAGCAGCAAACAGAAGTCTCTGATTTCTGAGACTTAAATGAGAAAGAGAATTATAATGCATGCATAGGGCTGAGTAAAACCAGTGTCTGTCATCTAGTTCCTTAGTTCTGACTTTAATTTAAAAGGAAGTTTTAGAGCTCATTAATGGCTGTAAGAACCAACTGCTTCCGGAAGAGGAGGAAAGGGGATCTCTGGCCAAATGGTGGTCGATGAAGACATGGCGCTGCAGTGGCCCTTACTACTCCAGTAGGAAGTGTGAGCCATGTAGTCCCTCATTATAGCCCTATAGACAAGTGCTGAGGAACACATGCTGCTACCCCAATACAAACACGCTGGTGTAGTGATTGCAGAGGACAAAATTAGGTGGTATCCTCTTTGCTCAGGGACAGCTGGCTGATAAATTATTGGAGTTTCTTGTGCATGTACTGTAGGGGAAGGGACGGGAGGGAAGGACCTACTTGTGCTCTCTGCACCCCACCTACCACCCTGAACGTATGTCCCAACTACAATGGGGAAATCCTTTGTATCTTGGAGTCTCTGAAGAAACAGCCAATCTCACTTCATTGTACCCCTGGTCCTTCCTTTCATTGTAGGACAACTTATTCATGCTACTGCCCACTTGTGTCTTCTCCACATGCTATTCCCTTAGCACAGGAGAGGTAAATGTGAGGAGTAAGAGTTAATGCTGAAAATAAACTCATTTAACTCCTCTAGGGATTTCATATGGAAATCCCAAAAGTGTGGTAGGAAATGAGGCTACATAGAGCAGATGTGCTCAGGCTCTGCACCCCATCTCCTATTTCAAAATTGGCAGAGAGGCCATCAGTGGGATTTAGGAAAGGGAGTTCACTTAGGTGCCGGTCCTGGCTTCCCCTGGTACTGGTCAAATTTGGCTGCTGTTTGCACTTATCTTATCCCCTCTGACCTACCAAACAGAAAGAAGAATTTGGCCCTTATAGACTTCCTCTAAGAAGCTTTAAAAGTTGCTAATGAAACTAATAAAATATATTTAACTAGCGGTGTATTCTCTCAAAATAACTCCTTCCTTGTGCGTGGGGGCGTTAAGTCTCATACTTAGCAGGGGGATTACTGCCATCACACATCATGAGCTGCTTAATTATGCTATCTGGAAGCTCCAAGGTTTCCCAACCAAAACATTAGGAGTGCACTTTTTTCACACTTACAGAAAACTCGTTTGGCGGGTGAGTGGATGACATAGTCCCCATCACCAAAGCAATGAAGAAACAACTTTTCTTCTTTAAAAAAATGCCAAGAAGTTAAATGCGATCTGTAATGTTTTGATAGCTGGAGTTCATGCTGAGAGGTAACTCAGCAAAATTATTAAGGCAAACCCAGGGCCTGGAGCAGAAATGGAAGAAAAACTAGCTCTCACCGTGCCCTGCAATAGCAAGAGCGAAATGGAAACCATGACAATATTTTGATTACAGACAATAATGCAACGTGTATTATTCTTGGCCCCTTTCTTAGATCAAGTCTCAGGTTGATTCCCTACTCTCAGCAGTCAGAGCACTGAAAGAATCTCCAGGATTTTCCTGTTGTGAGTATTTGCATTGCTTAGTTTTAAAAAACACCTGACCAAAGCTTCTCTTTTTTTTTTTTTTTTTTTTTTTTTTTTTTTTTATTTTTAAAATTCTTTTTTCTAAATCTTCTCTTTTTTTTTTTTTTTTTTTTTTTTTTTGCTGTCAAATACAACAAGCTAGATGGAGAAGCCAAGCTTTTTGTTGCAGACAAAGGTTGATTCACTACCACTGCTATG